AAGAGTGTTTGAATTAGCGTGGATTTGCCGCTGCCTGTTCTTCCAACAATGCCGGTCTTCAAACCTCCTGGGAAAGTGCAAGTTAGACCCCTCAAGACGAATGGCATGTGCGGGGCGTAGCGGACCTGTGTATCAACCAGTTAGTGTTTGGGAAACACTTCTGAGCATTTAACAATATGATGGAAAATACCTTTAGTTTTGTCTTATAAAACATTAGAATTTGTTATAAATAGCATAGCTAAAAAATGAAGTTCACACTAATACCAGATTTTGTCAAAACCATTATGTGAAATTGTTGTTAAATAAAGAAGTTGCTATTGTTATTGCATGCTACTAAGGTGACAAACAATCCATGAATCATTATGATGGAAGTTTCAGATAGACGATTACGTGCAAGTCACGAAGATCCACTTCTCCATTAGATGGCCAGTTATGGCTGGGTCTGTTCGCTTTGACAATAACAGGTGGCTCGCTCGGAATGCTTGTATACTGCAATATTCTCTCCACTGATATTATTTTATTTTCAAGATCACATAGAACCAATATGACCCAAGCCTGCAGCATATTTAGATTAAGTCCATATGTGACTGCAAGGCCAGCAGCACCTGACAATAGAAAGTGCTAATCTCAGGTATTAGTTTCTCCACTTAATCAGAGAAGAAAACACTGACTTTTATGCTAAACAAGTTACCTGGATCAATTACTCCTTTTGGCATGCAAATCAAGAATATTAAAGAGAATGCAAACATGATTGATGATAACATGTCCAAACGAAAGCAAAGCCATTCCCGAGCACCGGCACTATAAAACTTCGGTCCTGAGAATTCATCCATTCGTTTTGAATTAATGCATATAAACCTTGATTCCTGATTGAAGCTTCTAATGGTTGTTGATCCTGACAATGATTCAGCAAAATGTTGTATGATTGGGGCTTTACACACTCCCATCAACCTTGCTAGTTCCCTTGCTGTATCAATGTAATATTGCTGAAGCAGAGAAGCAAGCAAGTAAATGTTTATTCTTTCACCATTGCTTCAGCCTCATTAGTCCATTTCTACTAAATCA